TTTATATTATATTAAAGTCCTCCACTCTTTGTATTACTATGCTTTTTAAAACAAAAACAGAGCACCACACCTGTATGTTTGTTCCATTAAGAAATATGCTCTAAGGGTTTTCATGTTGACCCTGGGAGCCTACATATTTCACTGCATCGCTTCAGTAAGTGTGTGCTGGCATAGCACTGTTGACCACAATGGAACTGTTGATTTACATCAGGTGAAGGTCTGGCTTTTATGCACAACACTGTATAATTCCTTGTGGATAAGATAAATTCATTTTCGTATAATTTGTAATAGTTTTTTCATTACACATGCTAGTTACATCTTAGGGTGAATCAGTCAAACAGACTCTAAATTAGAATGGTTGGGTGACCTGGTCCCAGGTCCTTTGCAATGCAGTCTTCTCACAGCTTGGAACAACACAGCCAATATAGAAATAGGTAGTTAGTCTTTCTTTCTCTTTTCTTCTGTATTTTTTTTCAGGGAGCTGAGTAGATGAAAGTATCTTAAAGTTTTTATTTTCTAAGTAAGTAAGAGAAGTAGATTATCTTAGAAGGAAAAGTCAGTGGTCATGTGGTCCTGGATAGGTCATGCAAACATTTAGGATGTCACAGTGTGGAGATGAAATCGTTAAATTAATAAGACTAGTCTCTAACTTATTCCATAAATGAGAATCAAGGTTCATTCCCAGACCTTTAAGAATCTTTCAGTGGGGCTGTGAACTGCACAAAAGACAGAAGTGTACTGACAAGTGGTGGTTTGCAGTAGAGCCCTTTCTCAACACTTTCAAAATAATCCACTGTGTTTGGATGTTCAGAGGACAAGGCTTCAAAATCTCTGAATTAAACAAAATTATGTATTTTGTAAACAGAGTCAAATTAACACCAAATTTAACTTAATTATCTAGTCTATTGATTATCTTAATATTTATTCATTTATGTATTTAATAATTATCTTAACTAAATTATCAAGTGCTTTGAATAAGAGAAAGTCCAACATTAACCTTTGGGCTTGGAGCTACTGAGTTTAGACCAATGGCAGATCTGGCCCAAAGAAATCTCCTTCCTCACATTTGAGAAAAACATATATTTAATTAGAAAGTGCATACCCTCTTCCCTTGGTGGCCACTAAGTATTTGTTTGCTTTTTAAATTCAGGGGAGGAGAGGAGAAACAAACTAATCTCACAAAGGTTCACCCCACCCTCTGCTTGGCTTCTCTTCCTTGGCAGAACTCCCCAGCAGCAGCTGGCTGGCTGTTTTTCTTCTGCAATTCTGTTCATGACATTTCCTGCAACTAGGTTTTTCTGAAGGTTTCCAGCAGTCCTTTTAGCCCCTCACCCCCCTTTTTTGGCCTCTCCCCCCACTAACCATGGCCTTGTCCCTAGTTCCCAGCAGTTTAAGTACCGTATACCCATCACACTCTACATACCCTCAACACATAGAAGGAGTTTCTGTGGCTTGCATTAAGTCTTACTAATTTACCAAAAAACAGTGGTTAGAATAAGGGATGCTGAACCGCTCTATTTCTGCTGGGGGTCTAAATAGAGACATGGAGCTTGTACTGTGTTTTTCAGTAACATGGGTTGTGTTCCTGGCTATTGCTTGCCAGTGGCCTGCCCTTTGCTTCATTTAATGTAATTCTTTTTGAAGCTACAACACGTAGCCCTCTCCATGCAGAAGAATGGATAGAAAGAACTGAAATTAGGGAGAAGATCTGACAAACAGACCCTGCATTACTAGACATACTGGCTCTTTCTCTCTCCATACTACTAAAAACTGCATAAACTGTCCTTTCATAGGCTTTTATAAACATTCAAGTGACTTATTCTTTTAGTGTAAAAGCCTACTTGTATATTAAGTTCTTTGTTATCAATGACATTAAATCAATATCCTCAGCGCTACAGGATCCAAGTCACATCTGTGCTGTCACACATAGTTTAACTTAAGAAATGCAGTATTGAGACAGTTTGTTTTTCATTGAGTAATTTAAAGTAGAGCTGTGGAAGATCAGTGAGGGTTTATTCCTCACTGTGGCCAGTTTCTTATATGTTAGGTGGGTTTCTATTCTTTTGACAGTTTTATTACAGAGTTTCAATGAATTCCGAGAAGATGACTGTTACGCAGTTGTCATGAATAGCACAGAAAAAGCCTTGTGATGCCTGCATTGTGCATGTAAAAACACAGAACATAGCCTTTGAGAAAATTAAATAGTTGAAGTGGTATGGATTCTTTTTGTATACACATTATATGTATTTTTTCCATGTGGGTTTACATACAGTTCTGGATAGCACATAGTCCAGAGACTGTATAGCTTTACTTGGTGTACTTCTTTGTCTAATGAGTGACATCTGTGTTTAGAGTCAAAGATGGAGAAAAACAGTAACTCATCCCTTGCCAGAGATACTTAATTGAGGGTAAAACATACATCTGGGATTTATTTGTGTGAAAAGATACACAACTGAAGTATTATGTCTTATTCCAACCTGACCTTGCAGTGCCCTTTTCATTTAGTACATTAAGAATCAAGATTTATCTACAGATATTTCACAAGTCAGAAATAACAGTTATTGTATAATCTTATAATCTTAGCTGCTATTAGAGCAGATCTCACTCTTTTTTTTTTTTTTTCCCAGCCACTGCTTTACTCTCATAAAAGTGAAATAATTTGCAATACAAACTGACATTCTTCCAATTGCTTACTTCAGGAAAGCTATGTCATGATGGACGTAACATTATATAGCATAATGGACAAACATTATGCTATGTGCCCTTGTTGCTGGTAAAACAAAGTGAACTGTCAATAAAACCCTAGGTTAACTGAAGTTGCAGAAGGCATTTTTCCAGCCATGGGCTATATCATTAGTCTTCTGCAGTTTCTGAACTTGCAGTCTTCAAAAGTAATCTGAACAGCAAAAGGTGGGATTAAGGGAAAGAAGCAGCTTCTGCAAGGCACTCCATATTTCATATGTGGTTTGGATGGTGTGCAAGACCCCTACTGTAGTTAAAGGTCACGCTCAAGACAGGGTACTTTCTGAAAGGAATGGGAAGTTCACAGTTGATGGAACTAGCAGGGAACATACCAGTGAGCTCTTGGGGCTTTGTGCAGGACCTTTAGAGAACAACCAGAAATAGTGAAGGGCTTTCAAAGATGAGGAAGGACTCCCCTGTGTTAATCAACATCATATAGTTGGGCTTACTGCGTCTCTGTAACCACATGTGGAAAGAAAGTGGCATGATTGGACCTGGAGTTATATCAGTGAGACATCTTCAGGTAATCTGGGGGCTTGTCCCATTGCCACTTCAATGGTGCCATCCTCTCGTGAGAGTGGAAGGTCAGCAGCTCTGTGCCCTGTCCCCCATCAGCATGAGGACCACATGTAGCTGGGGTTATGATGAATATTGGCAGGGATACTGATTTCTTGTTCAGGGCACTCTGCCATCAGACCACACTGCTGGAATTACGAATAGGTACAAAGTAGTAACTTCCTAAAATGCAGAGGGGCCAGCTTGTTTAATGAGCACTGGGGAGAGAGACAGCAGGCAGCCAGCTCTTCTTCCTCCACCTGCTTGGACTCAGTTTCAGTGTCAGACACTATAAGTTTTACTGTTTGCTTTGATCCCCTCCTGGAAGAATGCTACGGGAAGTGACTAGAGCTGAGGGGGAAAATAGAGACCCTCAGCAGATAAGTGGCAGTCTGTCTTCTCTAAACTCCACTTCTGGGCGTATCCAGCCTGCAATCTCAGCTGTTTCTATGATGAAGTCTTAGGAAAACCAGGCTCAGTCAGGGAACCAGAGGTTTTATCCAGAAGTTGCTCGAGTAGATAAGAAAATTCCATTTATGTTATCCAGAGGTGTGAGTTAAGAAGATATAAATGGCCTTATCTACAGCACAGCTATTGGGAGTATGTGGAAATCCAGCATGAATGTCCTGGGTTAGAAATGTCTTATCATCGTTGGTAAGGAGGGAACTGTACTACCTTGTGCCTGACACTCAAACTTGTGGGAGAAGAGGAAGAAAATTGCAGACTTCTTGTACTTCCTTGAATTTCAGCATGCTTTTTTTTTTTTTTCTTTGTTTGTTTGTTTTTTACCTCTTTCTTCTTTAAAACAAAGAGGACAGTGCTCTGTTATTTTCTGGTTTGACAGAAATATTGACTTTGTGTTGCAATAATCCGAGGGCTGTTAATTCACAATTTCTATTGAAGATTCTAGTAATTAAAAAAAAAAACAGCCTTAAGGTAGGATCTACCACAGAGTAGATCTGGGGGATTTTTATATTAAAAAGGGTAGAACAGATACTGGAAACCTCTGTTTTGCATATATTGTCTATAATGAACTAATAATTCACTCCAATATTGTTTTAATCATTTTCTCACGAAACTGATGCAATAGAGTGGAGAATGAGGTTTCAATCCTTTCTGAATAGAGGAGACTTAATGTGACCAAATCTGTTTGTGAAAGATAAAAATTATGTCACCATACTGCCGAAGTCTGTTAAAATAAAATCTTGGATTATAGCATTGCTCTTTCAGTTTGATTATATATTTAAATATAATCACTATGGTGGAAAGAAAATGTATGTGAGTTGGTCATTGTAATGCACATATTTCAGTGTTATTAATCCTAAAATACGAGATTTTTATTACTTAATGTGAACAAAACCCAAAGAAGTGAAATATATGCTGAAAAAATTAACACATATATTTGTGCTTATGTACAATAAGGACGTCTGTTTTGTTATTACTTAAATGGGATGCCAATTTCTCACTCCAAGTGACGTGAATTTAATTCCAGCATGTAAACGTTAGACAATAGCAGCCCTTGCATGTTTGGGGTTTGTGATAAAACCATGAGAACTGAAAAAAAAAATAATTTGCTTTCAGTAAGGTGGTTAATCTATAATGTCTAGGGAAGTTATTATAATAATAGGAATTTGAACTGATTGAACAATGGATTGTGGTTCTTTTTAAACATTCCTTCAAGGCCTTTCTTTTCTTTCTTGCAGACTCCCAAACAATACAGCCTAGCACTAAATAAGAGTAACAGAGTTCATCTTTACTGTGCATTTCTGGACTATAGGTATGTTACATAATTTAATTTTTTTTAACTTGATTTAATCAAATTGCACATAGTTTGTGATGCTACATATTACCTACTTTCTTGTTCTCCTTTATTTATGGAAGTAAATGAAAGTAATGAAACTCTTTACAAGAAATGCAATCTCACTGTGACTTTTTACCATAAATAGGAGCATTTTTTTCACTGACTTTGTGTTAAGTAGGTGATTGAGAGATTGAAAAGTGTTGGAATCAAAACTAAAATGCAGACTGATACTGATCATGCTATGATGGTTTATGAATATATCCATTTGGGCAGACACTTGGATGTTTTAAGATGGCAAGCCTCCAACATAACCATTGTTTTCTGTGGATCTGTGCCTGTTTCAAAATACCATGTGAGATCTGTATTTAAGAGCTGTGAGTTTTGGCCAATGCATGCAATGAAGAAATATTATGCCCCTGAATGCAAATTAGAATAAAAGGTAAATAAATGTCACCCTAAATTTCACTCAGGAAATAGTAACTATGGAAAAATAGCAGTTACTATTACTTTTTTTTAGTTCTGAATATATTTAACCTCTTTTTGATTTCCAAGCATGCTGCTCTTGCTGAGTTAATTGAGAAAGAATACAATTAGTGAATTTTGAATTTCATGGGGATTAACTGGTTTTGAGCTGTAATAATATAAGTTTAACTGATATGCCAATGGCCTGCAATGCTGTGATCCCTCCTATCCAGCATGCACATGGGAAAGTCACTGCAATTGTTTTATTGAAGTTTTGTTTCAGGGATGTTGAACTGTCCCAGCTGTTAGCAGTTACTCATCGTTATGGTTACTCACAAATTATGGTAAATTAGAAACAGATTTTAATGAAGCAAATTAATATGGCTGGGACATTGTTCCTGTATGCTTTTCCACTGAGGCTTGTGCCTTTGAGGCTTTGCCTTGGGATAGAAACTGAAATGTGAAATCTGTCCTTCCACATGAGTTTTATTTGTGTCAGGATAGTCTTATTCCCTAGTGCATGGTAGTTAAAGAATACGCAATTGGTTTCTGACCTACAGAATACTCCCTTTGAGAACTCAAAGAGGTTCCAAAGGACAGAAGAAAGGTGAGGTAATACCTGTCTGTAAATTAAGTACCAATAAAAACATCACTCAGTCTAGCCTGAGGACCCAAAATGATATAAAAAATAATACATAGTTAAGAAACAGACAGACTTATGGTGCATGGAACTCCACTTAGTTGTGAATATGTGGCTCCTGTGTCCCCACTCTGTGGCAGGGCTGTGTCAGCACAGGGGTTTCCAGGTTTTCCCAGCTCCAAGAATAAGCAATCCCATGAGGATCACATTCCTGCACAGCACTGGGACTAAGCCACGTGGCCAGGCCAGCCATAACTTCAATGGAGCAGGGGCTGCTCTTGGTCTCCCTGAGAATGAAGTGACAAAAAGCAGTCAATATGGACAGGTCGCTAGAAATCAAACTCAATCAGTCTAAATTACTTTCTTTGACAGGATGAGTGGGACAGTGAATAAGAGGAAGGCAGCAGATATGATATGCTTTGACTTTTGCAGGATTATTGAAATGTCCAATATGGTAGTTCTCAAAGTGTAGAAATTGGGGTCTAGCTGAAATGCTATAAACAGTTTGCACAATGTTATGAAAAAAAAATAAAATACACAGTTATTCACTAGTTATAGAACTGGGAGGAAATCTCTAGTGACATTCACAGAGGGGTCTGATTTGGGCCCTATTCTAGTCAATATTTTTGTTAACCATTTTCATGATGGAGTTGAGAAGAATCTGAGAGTGTTTGTGAATGCACCAGCCTGAGATGGCTTTCAATCTTTTATGTCTCCTGTACAGTACGATGCATGTCGAATTAACCTCAATAAGATGCATTTTGATAGAGATTATGTTCCATTTTTTTGTGCTTTGCAGCAATGGAACTGGTGTCTGGTCTAATGAAGGTTGTGTGCGTGAGAGTGGGGACCTCAACTACTCTGTGTGTCTTTGTAACCACCTCACTAACTTCGCCATTCTGATGCAAGTGGTGCCTCTGAAGGTGAGTTTAAGCAAAGGAATAACTCTGTCTGTTAAAAATGCATCAGTTGCATCCTCACACCACACCAGAAAGTGATTGTAACTGGGCTCATTTTTTGCCTAACTCAGATTTATTCCACAACTTGCTGTCTGGGAAGTTGTATTGCTATTTCTTGACCATACATGTTTTCTAAAATTTTTGGGAGGTGAAATGGAGCATGGAATGAAACACCTCTGTGTGTACTGGGTCTGTACTGTAGGTGGGAATCCTGAAGCATGGTACTTTATACTCACCTTTTTAGCCTGATTTTGTCAAGTACAGACCAGCCTGGTTTTTACAATTAATTTTCAAGACTGAGGAGGCTGAGATGTTTCTGTTTAAGGCTTTTGGTAACTAGACTTGTGGAATATGAACAGCCAAGAGTGAACTCCATGTGAAGCGAGCTCTGCTGCCAGCTGGTCCCTGTCATTTGCTGTGTCAGCTTGCAAGAGCCTCCCAGCTACTCTTCCTTCATCTAGCTGCCAAGAAGAGACTTGTGTAGAAGAAGCAGGAGAAAGAAATGGCAGTTTTAGATTTGAAACCCCTTAACTGTAGTTTCTCTGTGCTCAGTTTCTTTATCCAAAGAACTGACAAGCAAACGTCTTCTCAGCCAGAATATGACCCAGACCTTCTACTTGCTGCTTATGCTCATCTCTGTCTTCAGATGAAGTTTGATGACAAACATGACACTCTCCCCACCAAATACGTTCTTGTCTTCATGATACCTTGTGGTGCTGCAGAAGGAGCAGAGCTTCATTAGGACCTTAGGAGTCTTTATCACATTTGTCCCTGTGGGCTACTAACAAGCGTGGTGTCCTCTCTGGTACAGGTAGAGGGTTTTTGTTAGATCTGTTGGCCTGGGTGCACTGCATATGAGGCCGTGTCTCAGGCTTCTGTTAATTGGTTTGACTGTTGGGTTTGCCTTTATTTTAGACAGAAGCTTAGCTTAGCCCTGAGATAGCTACTTGTGCAGGATGGGCTGTATGTGCTCGTGATGGCAGCACGGAGGTTCCTGCAGATAGAAACACAAGTCAGCTTGGAGCATAAGGCAACCATAACCAGGGTTATCCCACTGAGCTGCAGCGAAGTCTTTTTGAGGAATGAATGATCCCAAACTGCTATTAGGAGTTAATGATTCAATAACGCTGTTAGCACAACTGCTCACACGGCAATCCCAGTTACATGTTGTAATGCCATCAAAGGCAGGGTTATGGTGTAGAACACCATGGTCTGCTATCCAAATAATGTAATTAATTCCTGAGCCCTTTGTACTGGTAGAGCCATTTGAAGATGGAAAGTAGCTTGTTTGGGTAACCCAGTTTTCATCTACCCATTATTGTCTTTCCTATTTGTAAATTGCCTAATTACCACAGCTTGTTTCCAAGTATCATTTTCCTAGGAACTCTTTGTACTCATAATAAAATGCTGCTTTGCCTACAGAGCTTCAAACTTGTAAGATAAAAATAGGATGGCAGAAATACGCTGTTATTAAAACTGTTTTAAAGAGCCATATACAGAGATTAAATGATTTAACCAGGATTAAACTGGACATTCACCAACTAATTGCTGGTGGAAGATTATTCAGTTTTCCACTGGAGATAGTTCTAAAATATCTAACTTTCAAACAGATTTGAGATTGTTATGATTAATGAGATGCTATAATAAGTTTTAATATCATGCAGTATCAGTAATTAGAGATCAAAGATGTTTTATATCAAAATATTTGAAGTCAAACTTTCTTGAAGAGATCTGAAATGCTTAACTGGGAAACATGAAGGCACTGTCCAGTTTCTTACAGTCATTTAATGGTTCTGCTTTTAGTATTTTCTCCCTTCTTAACTGTCAGTTCTAATTTGCATCTGCCACAGTTTTTTTTGGAATGTTTTTCAATTGCTTTTTTATTTCTTTATGATAATTTAGAAAACAAAACTCAAGTGGGAACCATGACACATAAAAATCCTTCTCTATGTGATGCAGTACTGGAAAAGTTGATCATAAGTAATTTTTTTTTCTTTTAAATTAGACTTAATTCATGGGTTTTTCTATTATAATTTTAACCCCTTACACATAAAATCCTATTTCTGAAGAAGAAAGTAATTTATGCATTATTGACAGGAAAAGTGATATGCTGCACGGTGGGAGGAATTGCCTTGCAGTTGTATTTCCAGTAGAGAGTCCCTATCTTCATTCTGCAAATCCACGAGGATTTGGAAAGCTTGTCTCAGATGTCACCAGAAGATTGTGCAGGCTAGGAAGACAATATGTATTCATTTATGACTTTTTAAAGTTTTCAGCTAAACATTTTTTACCTGCTCCTCAGTTGGCAGAATTTAAAAATGTATTGTGGGATGGAGAAATCCTTGTTCACTGGTCCACACAGCAATGAGCTTGAACTGCACCTTAGCACTTGGCCTTGCCCTGTCCTTCCTGCTGGAGGGAGGTGACACTGAGAGTGGGCACAGGGGGAGTCTTGGATAATGCTGCCATGAAAAAGAAGGATGTCATCCCTTCGATTCGCCTAAATTCATGTTCCTCTAGTTTGTTTTTTATGTAGTGCCTCTCTCATAGTTCATTAGAAAATCTCATTCCAAATCTTTGACTAAAATAGACACTTTAAATTGGCAGTTTAGGATTATTTTAAGGTATTATTTTTATCCAGTGGGGAAAACAAACAAACAAACAAACAAACAAACAAACAAAAAAAAAAACAATTGTATTTTCATTGTGACATTGGTATGAAGTTAAGATCTGGGGAAAACAGACCCTTGGCTTTTGAGCTATACAAGCAGATTGTGCTCAGTTATAAATTCATAAAACATTTGCTTCACATGTCTAAGCAATAGATCCTACTGAATCAACTACACAATTGGAAACTTCTCCCTGGTGTCCTTGGAAGCCTGTTAAGTAAATGTCAAAACACTGTGGATTTTAAACACATATATACATGTTTATTCACCACTTTCTGAAATTCATGAGCCAAAGTTCAAAGGGCCCAAATAAATCACCAGTTTGAATACAAGATTGTCAATGCTCTAAGAAATTGTTACGATGATGTTATATTAGATCTTGAACTTCTGAATATTTTATTTTTCTTTTTATAAGTAGTGTTTCACTAGAAAAAGAGTGGGTAAGCTTCTGCCATCAAAACATCACATCATTCACATCACATTCACATCAAAGAAGTTCTATTTTTATAGCTATTTTATACTTACAGTCATATAAATACAACTGGATGAAATTTTTCCATGTGAACTATATGTATATATATGCTAGATTTAATTTCTTACAAAAGGGGGTCTTCTTTTAATGGAAAATGTAAGTGAATTATCAGAAGTGGAGTGCCTGAAAACTGTAGAGGTTTTAAAGAAAGGCTGTGTTCTGGTTCAAAGAGGTGACTTTGTTCTTAACCAGAATTCTCTTTTGGGTGCCTTCTGCTTCTATTCTCCTATTTTGCCTTTCTCTTCATCATACTGATAAATGCAGCTGTTACGATAGCACAAACAGGCAGACATCCTCTCCAAGGGCACCACGACAGCCTTTAACATAATGCACTGGTCAGCAGAGACCAACAGTGATTTGGAAATCCATGAACACTTGAGACCAGTTCAGTGTGATATGCGTTCTGATGCTCTCAGCACTTCCTCATGAGATTGATTTTATTTTTGTGTAAGAAAAATGCATAAACTTTCCATCAAGACATTACAGGTATTTAAAGAGAGTTTGCTGTTTGGAACCAGGCAGCAAGAAACACTCTCTAAGTTCAGATGAAGACAACGTGTCTCTAACACGAAAAGGAGGACTAAGGAGAATCTCCATCCTTTACTGGATGCTGGGGGAAACTTAGTGATGAGAGATGAGGGAAAAGCTGAGGTGCTTAATGCTTTATTTGCCTCAGCCTTTACCAGCAAGACTAGTTGCTATCTGGATACCCAGTACCCTGGTGGGTACTGGTGGGAGCTGGTGGAAGGGGTTGGGAGCAGGATGTGGCCCTCGTAATCCATGGGAAAATGGTTGGCAACCTGCTACAGCACCTGGATGTGTGCAAGTCAATGGGGCTGAATAGGATCCACCCGAGGGTACTGAGAGAACTGGCGGAGGAGCTGGTCAAGCCCCTTTCCATCATTTATCGGCAGTCCTGGCTATCGGGGGAGGTCCCAGTTGACTACCAGCCAGCAAACATGACGCCCATCTACAAGAAGGGCCAGAAGGTAGACCTGGGAAACCCCGGCCTGTCAGTTTGACCTCAGTGCCAGGGAAACTCATGGAGCAGATCATCTTGAGAGTCATCACGCGGCACTTGCAGGGCCACCAGGCGATCAGGCCCAGTCAGCATGGGTTTATGACAGGCAGGTCCTGCTTGACGAACCTGATCTCCTTCTATGATAAAGTGACACAATGGCTGGACAAGGGAAAAGGCTGTGGATGTGGTCTACCTTGACTTCAGTAAGGCTTTTGACACCGTTTCCCACAGCATTCTCCTCAAGAAATTGGCCGCTCATGGCTTAGACTGGCACACCCTTTGTCGGGTTAGAAACTGGCTGGATAGCCAGGCCCAAAGAGTTGTGGTGAATGGAGTCAAATCCAGCTGGAGGCCGGTCACCAGTGGCATCCCCCAGGGATCAGTACTGGGGCCAGTTCTCTTTAATATCTTTATCAATGATCTGGATGAGGGGATTGAGTGCACCCTCAGTAAGTTTGCAGATGACACCAAGCTAGGTGTGTGTGTCAATGTGCTCGAGGGTAGGAAGGCTCTGCAGGAGGACCTGGAAAGGCTGCACCGATGGGCTGAGGTCAACTGCATGGAGTTCAACAAGGCCAAGTGCCGGGTCCTGCACCTGGGGCCCAATAACCCCAAGCAGAGCTACAGGCTGGGAGATGAGTGGTTGGAGAGCTGCCAGGCAGAGAAGGACCTGGGAGTGATGGTTGATAGTCGGCTGAATATGAGCCAGCAGTGTGCTCAGGTGGCCAAGAAGGCCAACGGC